CGACAACATCGACACCGAATCAGCTCCCGCTACTTTGCATGCAACGCCCTCTACGGCCACCCCGGCTGCATCTCAGGAGGGCGATGGAGGTCTCCCCAGCGAGGACGGAGCTGAGTGCACGCCCAACGTCGTTGGCACTGCTTGCCCGACGCCTGATGCCGTGCAGGCCACTCCAGTACCAACTGCAGGCATTAGCAGCGCACGGATGGCACCGGCCCCTGATTCCTCGGGAGCGCAGTCACCGGCGCCGGCCATTCCGGATGCACCAGTCGCTGCCTCGCCAACAGACGCCACGCCAACGTCGTCGGTGGCGGCACGTCGGCTAGAGAAATTTGCTGAAGCTGTTCAGGTCAAGAGGCCTTCGCCAATCATTGCCGAGCCGCCAAGACAGAAGCCGGCAGCAAAGAGGCCAACCGTTCCGCACCGCAACAGTCGCATAGCTGCGCAGCAAATGGGCCACAATCCGGCCTCCAAACGCGGTGAAGTGTTGCTAATGAAGAAGATGGGCGTCCAACCACCTAACGCCCCAGTCTCTTCTGCAGTGAAACGCTCGTACGAGTCCATCTTCAAGGGTAACATGTCGTTGACCCAAGCAGCAGCCTTTGATGAGTTGTTCCCAGCAGTTCAAACGCGGGCTGGTAGAGCAACCCGCCGGCCCACGCTGATCGCCGTCTAGGCGGTTCGGTGTGCCTGGACCAAGTTGTACATCTCAATGGATAACACGACCATTGTTTCCTGGAACGTTCACGGCCTCAACACGAGAGCGCGGCGAGACAATGTAAGAACGCTTGTAAACGACATCAGACCGAGCATAGTCTGTCTGATGGAGACCAAGTTGGGAGCCATTCCCCAGTCGTCGTCTTTGATGTCCTTGTGGGGTGCTACTCCGTCACCGTTGCGGTCAAGCCAGCGACGAACGCTGATACCGCTGCACCCAACTGGTGGCTCACTGCCGTCTACGGCCCTCAGGAGGACAGGGACAAAGCCATCTTCCTTGAGGAACTTGAGGCAATACGGGACGCTTGTCAGGGACCCTGGGCGGTCACAGGCAAGGTTTTTTTTATCGGCCGAAATTCACGGAAATTTCTGAAATTTCCATTCTATCCATAGGGTCCGATAAAATTTGACATCGGCCAAATTTTTTCCTTCTTTCTTGCTCCCGCACAGACAACCTAAATTCAGCCGTACGACGGTCCCACACTATAATGTTTTATTCTTGTTTTTATCTGTGAATAAGTGATGTTTAATAGCTTAGGAATAGTTTCAAGTCAAATTCTACGAATTTTTTTCAAAACAATTTGAATTTTTTTTTAATTTGGTCCGATATTTCCGATATATCTTGTTTATCCTATTTATCCATGACCTCCGATAAATTTTTATTTTCGATAATGAAAACCTTGGTCACAGGAGACTTCAATCTCATCCTCAACGAGGAGGACAAGAGTAACGACCGGATTGATAGGGCAAATCTCCGCAGATTCAGGCGCACGGTGGCTGCCCTAGAACTACAAGACCTACACCTACATGGCCGGGCTTTCACTTGGAGCAACGAAAGGGAGAATCCAACCTTGGTCCGTCTGGATCGTGTCCTGGTGTCTATGGATTGGGAAGAATTGTTCCCCAACGCTCACCTGCAAGGTTTAGGTTCGGACGCATCGGACCACTGCCCATTGTTGCTGCACAAGAGCAACGGTGTTCTGGCCCAAGTTCGAGAGGACACGGTCATGCGGACTTGGAGGAGACCTGACAACCACATGGACCCGCTGCTGCGCCTTGACGACATGCTAAGGGGAATGGTCAAGGAGTTGCAACGGTGGTCTTCAACAAGAATTGGAGAGATCAGGTCGCAACTGTTGATGGCTAGAGAGCTAGTACTGCGACTGGACACTGCACAAGAGCAACGACAGCTATCGCCAGAGGAGTCGGAACTCTGAAAACGCATGAAGATGCAATGCCTCGGTCTCTCATCCTTGGACAGGACAATTGCCAGACAAAGGGCCAGAGTCGGCACCGCGTACTTCCATCTCATTGCTAGGGGAAGGGAGGGGAGGAACTTCATAACCTCCCTTAATGTGCACAGCCACTTGGTTGCAGACCATGACGGGATGGAAGCTGCGCTCCACGCACATGTAGAAGGAGTGTTCGGGACTGCCGCGTCCACGGGCAACACGTTGAACTTTTAGGCGCTAGGTATCGAGCCAATTGATTTAGCTGATCAAGAGGTCCCATTCTCCACGGAGGAAGTGTGGGCGGCCATCCAGGCAATGCCGGGGGATAAGGCGCCGGGCCCCGACGGCTTCACTGGTGCATTTTACAAATCTACATGGCACCTCATTCGGCTGGAGGTCATGGAGGCGATACAAGCGTTCACACAACATGAGACTAGGTCGATGCACAGGCTAAACAACGCTCTGATTGTGCTGCTGCCAAAGAAGGTGGGCGCTTCGCCACCAGGAGACTTCCGTCCAATAACCATGGTGCATAGCTTTGCCAATCTTGTGTCCAAGCTGATGGCTTTGCGTCTTGCACCTCGGTTCCAGCATATCATTGCAAAGAACCAGAACGCTTTCATCAGGAACATAACCATACACGACAACTTCAAATATGTACAGAGGGCGGCGGTTATGATCAGGAAGAAAAAGATCCCAACGCTGCTTTTGAAACTGGACATCTAGAAGGTGTTTGATACTGTCTCCTGGCCATTCCTATTGGAGGTCCTCCAGGCATGGGGTTTTGGCGACAACTGGCACAGATGGATCGAATCCCTGCTCTGTACAACGTCTTCATGGATCCTACTTAATGGACGGCAAGGACCACCGATCAAGCACTTGCGGGGAGTGCGGCAAGGGGATTCATTATCACCGATGCTCTTCATCATTGCCATGGATGTGTTGCACAGGCTGTTCATCAAGGCCACCCACGACAGAGTGTTTCGGAAATTGGAACCGTCCGAAGTCCGTTATCAGTGCAACATGTACGCGGATGACGTGATCCTTTTCATTCAGCCAACAATCTAGGAAGCCGGGCGGTCAAAAGAATCCTAACCATCTTCGGAGAGGCGTCAGGACTGAAGACCAACCTGTCAAAATGCTCAATCACTCCGATATATGTTGTGGAAGACAATATTGACAGTATAGTCAGTATTCTCGGTTGTCAGGTTCAGCCCTTTCCTCTCAAATATCTTGGACTGCCGTTGAGTACCAACGATCCCAAAGGCACATTTCTAGGAGATAGTAGAATCCATTGCCCGGAAGCTGCCACCCTCTCATGGCTCGCTCATGGCCAGGAGTGGTTGCCTGGTTTGGGTGAAATCAGTGCTTCGTGCAGTGCCAATCTACACGATGATGGCCGAAGACTTGCTAACCTGGGCACGCAATGAGGTTGATGCCATCTGTAGGAAATTCTTTTGGCAGGCAATGATGCTTCGGTGAAAGGGAAATGTATGGTGTCCTGGCCGATTGTCTGCAAGCCAACAACGCTAGGAGGGCTTGGTGTTAGCGACCTCAAGTTAACTGGATATGCACTCCAGACTAGATGGCTATGGTTGCAAAAGACTGACGTGGACCAGGCTTGGAGCCAGCTGTCAATCAAGACCGTGCCTCAAGTTCAGGCATTCTACAGGGCGTCCACGTTCATGGAGATCGGAGATGGCCACACGGCTCTCTTCTGGGAAGACTGCTAGCTCAATGGAACGCCGCTGAAGGAAGTGGCTCCATGCCTCTACCAACTGATCCCCACGCATACTCGCGCGACCCTAACTGTCAGGCAAGCATTGACGCAAAGGCAGTGGGTCTGGGGTATCTCGGGCGGAATGTCTGCTGACGCTATCGTCGAATACCTGCACATATGGGAGGCAACCGATGGCGTACGCTTTAGCAAGTCAAGCAGACAAGCTTATCTGGCGCTGGACTCAAGATGGAGCATATTCTGCTCAGTTTGCATACAAGATGCTGCACGCTGGATTAATCAAATTCAAAGGCCATCATCTAGTTTGGAAGACGTGGGCGCCACTTTAAGGTAAAATTTTTCCTTCGGCTGGCCCTTCGGCGGCGCCATTGGACTGGGGACAGAAGGTTGCGACATGGGCTCGAGGCAAGGGAAATGTGCTACATGTGTGATCAAGAGGTGGAGACCATCCATCATATCATCGCTTCATGCTCCTACTCACGCGAGGTATGGCACTGCATCCTACAAGTGCTGCACAGACCATTTCCACAGCTCGCCTCAACAACTTTCAGCTGGTGGAAGCATCTTCGAGCAGGCTGCAACGATCCGCAGCAGTCTAGCATGGACTCTCTGTTCGCCCTCGTGTCTTGGCATGTGTGAAAAGAGCGCAATGCAAGATGTTTTCGCGGGTCTGCGGCCTCGGCGACTGAGCTTATGCAGCTCATCAAGGATGAAGGGGACCGATGGATTCAGGCCAGAGCAAAAGGCCTTGGAAGCCTCGTAAGGCGTTAGCCATGGCAGATCCTCTACCGGAGTCGTGTGTTGTTATGTAGCAATGTAGCCCCTATGTTCAGCGCGGCCTTCAGTCGCTTACTCTTGCAATCTAAACTTGATTTCTTCTAATATAATCATACGCACACTCAGACGTATTCGAGAAAAAGAGAGAGAACCATTTTGGCTCTCTCATGGAAGCAATGTAAAAGCTTGCTCACAAAGGCCTAACATTGCTTGGTATCCAGACAGCCACTTTTAAAGCCTTAATCTTTATCACTTCAAATGAAAGATATCATAGTAGACCAGTAGCCTTTTGTTTCAAAACAAATATCCTATTAGTAGACCAGCTGCCCCTTCTATTAGTATAAATTCGGCAACCTCCTGCCGCCTTTCGGAAAAAAAACTGCCATAGTCATAGAGATATCTACAGAAGTTTAATGCCAAATTCCACTTCTAGGTAACCGTTTCATAGAGTTGGTAACCGTTGTAAGATTTTTGAATTCACGACGCTTATCTCCTTCATCTTTAGCACTTCACTAGAAACTTGTATTTTCGTACCACTAATCATGCTCGTACTTTCTGCATTCAAACTGTAAGCTGGATCGTTGCTGCAAAAGAATAAAAAATATAGTTATATCAACTTGATGTAAATGATACTGAATGATTGTTGAAATATATATGTGTCTCAAATAATATCTTACAATATTTGACTGAAGTTTTGCCTTGGTGGCATGTCTAGCTCATCTGAACCTCTCTCAAACATTTCCAAGACCTTTCCTATGGTAGGGCGATGCATTGGTAATATTTGGATGCACCACAGGCCAATCACACTCATTTTTCTAGCGATTCCTTTGTTCTCACGTGTAACTTCACATGCCTGTAGTCCATCGTCTTGACCAAAGTGGTCATAAATCCAATGTGGAAAATACCTTTCACTTGACTCTTGAGCCATCGATTTAACATTTTTTCTGCCTCCAACCATCTCTAGCAACATCATTCCATAGCTATAAACATCTGATTTTGCTGAAACAACTCCGAAGGTTCGAGAATGCACTTCAGGAGCTATAAACCCAGGTGTTCCTCTAGCACCGGTCATAGAAAGCTTGCTCTCCTTGGTATGGCACAACTTGGCCAAACCAAAATCAGCAATCTTTGGGTGAAAGTTCTGATCCAGAAGGATATTTTGAGGCTTGATATCGAAATGCACTATGCGTGTATTACAACTATGGTGCAAGTATTCCAACCCTCGAGCGATCCCAATTGCTATGGTATAGAGCTTATCCCATCCTAAAATTGCTTTGGGATTCTCGGAGTATATATACTTATCCAAAGAACCATTTGGCATATACTCATATATGAGGGCCCTCTTTGAGCCTTCCAAACAAAACCCAAATAAGCTAACAATATTAATGTGAGATGTCCTGCCAATACTAATAACCTCATTCACAAACTCCTCACCGTCACCTTTGGAGTCATGCAGGAACTTCACTGCAACTAGACGACCATCATCTAGCCTTCCTTTGAAAACCATGCCATAACCACCTTCCCCTAGCTTATTATTAAGGGAAGATGTTATCTTTGTTACTTCGAAGTATTTGTATCGTTTTGGAGCTAGTGACCCATGTAATAATATTAGGGCCTCAACGTTCTCTTCTGTGGTGCTGCTGGTCTTTTTGCATAGGAAAAACCTTAGTTTTTGCTTATGCCATACCAACACATATATACATGGTAGGAGCAAGCTTGCAGCTGCTGAAATCGAAACTGAAATTATAGTAGATGTTATTTTCATCTCACAAAACAATGAGGTGTTAAATATGAGCATTCAGATTTAGAGGCCATAAACAGTCTATATTGTAAATATGAAAATAAATTATAATGATCACATGTTTTGCTCCAAATCATGTAGTTTTTGTTTAAAATTTTCATTTTTGTATCTATGTGCAAATATATATATATATAAGAAGTTTTATTGTAGTTCTTCGAAGGTCTTCCTGGTTCCAATATCTGAGACTAAACATTAACTTATTGCATTAAATAACTATATATAACTACTGAAATTTGGATTGTTAGATACGGTGTATGAAGTAATGTCAAAAGAAGCATACCTATTAGTGCTATCTCATTCCTGCCATTCCCGTTGATACCTAAATAGCATGGAAATTAAATAAGTAGTGGTATAATGATTGTTTTTGTAAAAGGAAGGAATGATATTAAGCGATTCAATATTTTGCATATGAAATTTGAAACATGCAACTCCCTTGTGCTGACCTGTACTATATGCTACTGTCTAAAGTTGATTGGTGTATGCTATGTTTATATGAGTGTATATAGGCCGCTGGTTTGGATAGGTTGAAGATTGGAATAATGACGAAATCGATTCTTCTTAACTGTAACAAAGGCGACGTGTTCAACTATTCTTGATAGCGACTATATGTCACTAGTAGGACCATAATTGCCAACCAAACAGATACTATGGAATTGATATTTGAATCCGTTACTAGTACTACGCCACTTGCCTAGTTTTCAATACATGATCTAATAAGAATTCACAAATAAAATGAGTGCGGAGTATAAAGCAAAACATTGTTACTTTAGCTTGATCTCCATATATTTTTCGGCCTCCTATTCTTAAAAAAAAATGTGTGTTTTGAGTGTTCTGCCATCTCTTAGAATTTGGCGTAGGCCAATTTTACTTCTACTTCCAGATAGCACACTAATGCTATTTCCAACCAAAAAAAAACTAGGCGAAATTGACGTGCGTTTTAAATTTCCTTAGCTCACCGCACTTGTCACCGGAGCAATCACTGGCGAACTTTGTGCCGTTGTCGCCGTATGTATCGCCCGACTCGAAAAGACGGCTAAGGCTCACTCTATACGTTGAATGAATCATACCTGCTAATTAACTCTCTTGCGCTTTCGTTCTCGCTTCGCACAAAAGGATGGATCCGGAGTTAACACCTCCCAGATTCTGGCTTTTAACTTGGTTCAGCTCTTCATCAACTTCCGATGTGGTACTAAAGTTCGGTCACTACAGTGTTGGGCCTCATTCCCCTGGGTCTCACATACTCCCCCATTTAGGAAATTCGACGTCCTCGTCGAACGCGACCAAGCTACCTAGTAGGATAAATATCCAGGACCGACTCTCTTGGCCACGTTCGTATTTCCAAATTCGACGTCCTCGTCGAACGCTGAACCAAGCTACCTAGTAGGATAAATGTCCAAGACCTACTCTCTTAGCCACGTTCGTATTTCCAGTTCTCCAACCCAAGTGCCATGCCCTCACAGCAGCCATGCACAACCTGTCCAGGTTTCCAGACCATACGCAACCGTAAAACCGTGAGAGTTGGATCTTATTACCATTTGTAACGCCCCGACCCAGGAAGACGGCTAAGGCCCACTCTCCACGTTGAATGAACCACACCTACTAATTAACTCTCTTGCGTTTTCGTCTTCGCTTCGCGCAAAAGGATCGATCCGGAGTTAAAAACCTCCCAAGTCCAGGCTTTTAACTTGGTTTAGCTCTCCTTCAACTTTCGATATGTACTAAAGTTCGGTTGCTACAGTGTTGGGCCTCGTTCCCTGGGTCTCACACCGTAGTACCTGCATTCCCCACCCCTTGCCATGCACTTGGGCAATCATCTGGCACCCCTTTCCACTCCATGTGAAGCCCATTCTTCATGCTGGCGATGTAGTCGTCCCCATTTCCATCTAGAAACCCGAGAAACGGCACGACAGTGAAGAGGCAACCCGGCGGAATCCCTCCCTGTATGCTGTGGCTTGAGAAATTCCGGCCGTCGCCAAGCCGGACGAAGGAAGAGGCACCACTGTTGTTGCAAGGCAGTCTGTGAAACCCAGACGAATTCACCGGTGGTAACCCCGTGCACACCCCAAGGAAGAGCAATTCTTTGTTGGTTTTGCTGAACACGAATGCGGGCAAGAAGAGCGAGATGTTCATCGTTGGCGCTGGGCAGCTGGTGCGTAGGGGGAGGTTGTGGTCCGTCACATGGAAGGAGTAGTTGTTGGGGGAAGATACTGAGCACCTCATACGCCTGGTACATGGATTTGGTCAAGAACGCGCAGTTGCTGTTGCATTTGAGCTAGAAGGACGGCGGTCCGCAAGGTGGCTTGCCGGGCTCCTCAAGCCAGAACGGGTAGGTGATGTTGAGGTCCCCGCATGTCTTGGGCCAGCAGCCTGACGACTCTGCCGCGCTGGACCCCGGCGGCGGGAGGAGGGAGGAAGCGAGTAGCAGGGGGAGGAGTGGTTGCATAGCGGATTGGGGATGGAGGGGTGTTAGCGGCAGAGTGGCTTGGATTTCGGAGCTCGGCCAGGGAGTGAGGGACCTCTCACCTCCAGACCCGGACAGTGAACAAGGAAGGGAATGGAACGAGGGACGGCCGGACGGTACAGATCAGGGATCTTATGATGAATTGATGATGACGACTTTGACAGGTCGACGGTCCACGGCTCCACGCGCACTCCAAGTGTTTGATTAGTCTCGTTTTCTTTTTTCTCTCTTTCTGAATTTCTTTAATACGAGTATAGCAGGATATGTCATTAACTTCTGTGCTGCCGACTCCAGACAGCGAAGTGGCGGCGGCTAGACTAAACGCCTGCTCCCTCTACGTTCCTAAAGAAAGTCGTTTTGAGGTTATCAAGTCAAATATTTTAAACTTTGACTACAAATAAATTTTTTGGTTGAGTTTGAAGATATGAAAGTGATGTAAGTAGATTCATCTCGAAATGTAGTTTTATAAAAGTAAATGTTGACTATAGTTTATAAATATTTTATAGCAAAAAGTAGCGGTCAAAGTTATTTTTGAGACCGTGTTGTCTAAAACGACTTTATTTATAGACACGGAGGGAGTACCGGCCACCGCGGTTGGGAACGACAACAGGCGTTTCGCTACGGCCCCTATCAAATCAGTGGATAAACAAGCTGCTTGGTGGTTTGTGCTGCCAGGTCGGTGCTTTTCGATCTATCCTGAGGAGGCTCATGTTCTTGTGGTGTGTGTGGTGTCAGGTGTGACGGTCTGGCGCCTCGCTACCCAGTGCACAACGAATGCAATTCTCTCTATGCTATTGTTCCTAATGTAAACTTACCTGCCCGTGGTGACAACGGTGACGGCGACAGTTACCATGTCAAGAGAGGAATCCCTCACTGATGAGCTCCATGTAGTTTGCTGGGTTCACCTCGCCGGACCTCGCAAGCATCGGCACGACGGTTGCGTTGCAACCCTCCAGGAAGTAGCTGCCGGACACATCGGGACCCTTGGTGATGCCAACCAACGTCTTGTTCCCGCATGCCGTGTCCACAAGCCCGCGGCTCTGCCGCACTGCCTGCGTCGGCGGCTCCACGCAGTCGTAGAAGATCATGTTCTGGTTAACTGGGCTGATCGAGAACAGGGGGGCGAGTTCGGAGGAGCTGTTGTTCGTCGGGGAGTGGCAGGGCTTGGAGGCGGAGCTATGGAAGTCTTCAAGCTTGTGGAGATCGGCGATGAGCAAGGAGGAGTTGTCGTAGAAGATGTCGAGAATCCGTGGCGAATATGTACTCGGCCCGAAGTATGGGATGTTGTTAGAGCAGAGAACCTGGAAATGGAACCCGATCATCCCACAGTTGGTCTCCGTTGCGTGATCGGCGACGATCCCGAACGGGAAGGAGATGTTCATGCCGCCGCATAGCGCGGGCGAGCAGAGCTCTCCTCCTTGCCGGTCCGCTGCCGTCGTCGGTGCCGCCGTCGCGAGCATCACAGGCACCGACCTCCACGCCCCTGCCGTCCAGAGCGAGGAGACGAGGGAGAGCCACGACAAGGACGGAGCCACAACCATGGGAGCATCACAATTCACAAGTGGTGAAGGTGATTCAGAATCGATGATGGGAGATCATGAGGAGTGGGAGATGAAGAAGAGCAACAAGCTTGGAGCCATGGGAGCGTAGTTTTTTTTTTTGTGTGTGTAAGTGTAACACGGTTTCTATGATTGCACTACAGAGGAAGGAAGAGTTAAAGAGCGACGAGTTCCACGGAAATAGGTGAAGGACAATGACTTAGTGGACTTGTACAGAATTGTCTGACTATTTCTTGACCACTGCATTTGTAGAACATCTTTCAGCACACAACAAATGTTGTGCACTTGTGTTTAGTAGGGCTCTAGGTACCTTCTCAAAGATGGCTTTGGCTGCAGCTTTTTTGGAGAAATATTTTTTCTCAAATTTATCTCATTGGAAAATGTTCAATGAAACGGTTTCTTCTATTGTTTAAAATAGATAAAAGGATAATATTTATAATATCCTTACTTTTTTCTCTTTTTCTTCCTTTTTTTGCTCCTCTTAATTCTCTTTTCTTCTCTTTCTCTCCCATTTTTATCCATTCGACTCTGGACCCTCCCAGCGCCTTTGCGCACCAACATATGCACCGCCTCCTCCTCGCCTCTGCCTCGGCCATGATAGCACCACCACCTTCGTCTCCCTCCACCTTGACTCATCCGTCTCACGCTTGAATGCGCTCTGAACAAGTTTGTGTCAATTTGACCATTTTGTCTATGCTCGGTTCGTACAGGTTAAAAAAATCTGTGAAAATTATGAATAGTGATGTGTTTAGATTTGAATTTTTCAAAATACTTTTAGTCCTATTCAAAACTTGATATTAAAATGGTGGTAAAGACACAAAGCTCTCATGAGCAAGTTCAAATCTGCGAAAATGGTCTTTCTATAGCTAAATTGACACCGTTATATGCTCTTAACAGAATACGAGTAAACTGAATTTTCAATTTCAAATAGCAGGGGAAAGATCATACATTTTAAAAAAAGATAAGAGCAGAACTATCGTTGAACACCAAAATGGAGGTATGAACGTAGCAGTCCCAAAATAGAAACAAGTGTTTCGCTGGATTCCCTAGCTAATGTTCGCCGATCAGTGGCGCTGCGCAACTTACTGATGACGGCAAAGCCACCAAAGTTTCAGTTGAGTAATGTTTCAAAAAAAAGTTTCAGTTAAGTACTCATATTCTTCGTTGATGCGTCAGAGCACTAGCGAGAACAATCATAGGCGAAGAGGACTGGAGAGCTAAATAATGGCAGGTGAAGTGAAGGTGACGCTCACCAGACAGACACCAGGCCCGGCTCGAGCACTCCACGGCTCCGGAACCACACACGCGTTTACCCGGGGTTGCTGCGTGGCCGGTGCGTGTACGCACATTCTTGCCAAGGTCGTCAATGTCACGAAGACCAATCGGAGGAGTAACGAGCACTCCACGGCTCCGGAACCACACACTCGCGTTTACCCGGGGTTGCTGCGTGGCCGGTGCGTGTACGCACATTCTTGCCAAGGTCGTCAATGTCACGAAGACAAATCGGAGGAGTAATAGAAATTTCTAAATCTCCATGGAGCCTACGAAGGATATGGATATGGTCCAATAGTGGGCAGCACTACCGCAAACTGCATGATGCAATGGACCAAGAAAGTAAAAGGGGTAGACCCAGTGCCGGAGGCTCCCACATGAGTGAGGTCTAGAAAAAGAAAAAATCGAGGTAAGACTTCCCTCGTAAAATCTACAGAGAGACTACTTCAAACCTATGACCTGATGACTCAATGAAACCGCTCTCATGACTGGACCAAGCCTGCCCTTCGCAATGGGCCAAGAAAGTCTTGTAGCTAAAACCAGCATGTGCCGAAACAGCCGGCATCCGCCGCCGGCATCCAAACAAGCAAGTGAGACTCACCGGCGCATGTTGATCCCGCGCGCCTGCCGTCGGGGCAGAGGCACCAGAACTCCGCGGCGGCGCTGTCGTACCGGCACTGCCCGCCGCTGGCGTTGCAGGTCCGGCAGTCGCCGACGCCGGCCACCTCCCAGTCCAGGACGAACCCGTCGTTCAGCAGCCGGCTGTAGTTGGCCGCCGTCATGACTGCCGCCTCCGACCCGAGCACCGGCATGTAGGCGTTCTGGCATCTCCACGTCGCGATCGGCGCCGGTGGCCTGCCCCAGTAGTAGTCCCCGCCGAGGTACGCGTAGCTGGGAGTACTGCTGCAGTTGGCGGCGGCGTTCGCGTACTCGGGGCCGCTCGGGGCCGTGCCGCTGCAGTTGTAGAGGAAGCACAGGGCACGGTTCTGTGGGCTAATATTGAACAGGCTGAGCGGGATGCTGGAGGACACGTTGAAGTCGATTTTGCACACGCCGTCGTCGCCGGCGAGCTTGGCGTGGCAGGCGACGAGGGAGTTGTTGGTGTAGTCGATGCTCAGGACGTGGATGTCGGTGCCCTTCAAGGAGGCCACGCGGCCGTCGCCGCTGCACCAGACCTCGAAACCCGGGTGTCCACAGCTGGAAGAAGAAGGCGGATTGGTGCTGCTGCCGAGCCAGAACGGGTACCTGAGGGTGAGGTTCCCGCATGCCGCCGGCTCGCAGTCGGCGCTGGCGTGGTCATGGAGGAGGAGGACGAGCAAGGAGGCCAAGAGCGGGAGGAACAGCAAGGTGGGATGCATCAAGCGTTCAAGCTATCCACTGAATTAATGGAGACGGTGCCAGCACGTGAAATAATGGAGGCGATTGGGGATCGACGATGGCATTAGCAGGATGAACAGAAGGGTGAACCGCTCACAGGCACTGGTGGTGGCTGGGCTGAGTGTAAATGGTGAAGGCGAGTCCGCGTCGTCGTGTGCGTAGAGACGAAACTTTGACTAGGGGGCATTCGGGTCGGGCCGTCGTCGTCATCCACGCATAGGATATTTCCGAGGTGGCCGATCGATAAGGACCACCACGCCCATGTCGCGAGCATCAGAGGCAACGACCACCACGCCCATGCCGCCCAGAGCGAGGAGACGAGGGAGAGCCACGATAAGGACGGAGCCACAGCCATGGACAATCAGTGATGGTGGGAGAAGGAAATATCACGAGCGCGCAAGTGGCAAACTACAAATGGTGAGGGTGAGTCCGCGCGTCCTGTGTGGACACTGTAGGGGGCCGAAACCTTTGACTGGACGTTTTGGCCGTCGTCGTCCGCGCACGGGAATTCCTGAGCTGCTGGATAGACACTGGACAGTGGCAGCCACTGACGTGACCGGATGCGCGCGCCCTGATCAGCTCCGGCCACCGTGTAAGGCACACTCCTGTCGGCCAATAAGCTCGTCGTCCCACTTCTTTGTCAAACCCTGCACTGGTATTAGCGAACGGCGACGACTGTACACACAAACCGGACTAGCAGACTCTTTTTCCGAAAGAAAAGGTGGTCAACGGAATGCGCTAGATATAATTTTGACTTGCAGTTCCAACTTTCACACCTGAATATGTTGGCAAAAGCTAAGGAAGTGTATTGACAACAACCAGAAGTGGTTTTTACAAACCCAATTACTACTGATTTTTGCACGGTGCATTTAAATGTGTCTGCCACAAATTTTCTTTCTTAGACAAATGTGTTTCTGGGGCTTGCAAAGGTAGCGATAGCTTTTTTCGTGGATAAGGGCGATAGGCTCGTGCTAGGAAAAATATCCATTGGAATCTTGTCAGTGTCAGCTAAAGCAACAGTTCTACTATTATCCTTAATTGCCAGTGAAAAAAACGCAAAAACTCTCAAATTATACATATATAGGGCCACTTAAGATTGACAATATATTCTACTACCAAGCTGAGGAGTGCAACCCTATTAATTTTGCTACTTGCATTCAAATTTTACTATTTCACTCAAAAAATCACTTAAAAGTGAATTATTCTAAGAGAAATGCAAACATTCCTCAACAGAGTGCTAATTTAAAGGCAAATGATCCACATTCTATAACTACTCATCCTGCTGACAACTTCTTCGCCATACTCTGTTTGTGTGTGTTTTCTGGAGGTCGTGGGCGATATGCACATCTTCTTGCTCTGAGAAGGCGAAGACTACATAGCATTTTACATCAAATAAGATATTTTTTCTTTTAATTGAATTTCCCTTTTTCTCTTTGTTAGTATTGTGCGTGGAAATTGTTGAAATCAGACGCTTTAAAGAATTTAATGGTTTGCCTCAAATGTAGACTTTGAAGTACACTTTTCGCTAGTATGAACCAATGAAAATGGAAGGTCAAGTTCTTTGATTGAAAGTTCCAATCAAGGCTCCACTGAAAGTTGGATGCTAGTTGAAAGTTTGTTGGAGCTTGGAAGTCATGGTTCACCCCAGTTGAAACACTTAATTCTATCACTAAGTTGAAAGAGTCAAACTGTTATGTATACCGGTGAGGAAAAAAGAGTAGTTGCACCTATAACCTTAGTTTCAAAAAGTGGTCTGCCTCGCCTAAGTGATCTGCATGTCGTGCTCGCTCTGAAAGGACCCGAGGTATGGGATGTTGTTATGGCAACGAAGCTGGAACCCAATCCCGGCGCCGCAGTTGGTCTGCCCGGCGCCCTCCGGGATGAGCCCAAACGGGATGGAGATGGTCACGTCGCCGCATGAAAACGGCGGGCAGTAGTCTCCTTGTCCATCTGCTGCTGCCACCGGCGATGGTAAGGGTAAGACCACCCACACCGACGACGAGACTAGGAAGAGCAGCAATAAGGATGGAGCCATAGAAAGCTTATTAATTCGACGATGGCATTAGCAGGATGAACAGAAGGGTGAACCGCTCACAGGCACTGGTGGTGGCTGGGCTGAGTGTAAATGGTGAAGGCGAGTCCGCGTCGTCGTGTGCGTAGAGACGAAACTTTCAGCCCGTTCGGCTGCTCCACTTCTGGCTGATTTCGGCTGGTCTGCTCGTACGCTACAGTGCTCAAATCAGCTGGAATCAGCCAGCCGAATGGCCAGCAGCCGATCAGCAGCCAATTCGAATTTGAATTCAAAAAAGGCGCCAACAGGATGGTGTTCCAGGCATTTGAATTCAAAAAAAAAAAGGCACCGGTAACCAATCCAGTCAATTTACAAGTCATGGAAAGTTCATTTGTACAACAACAAGTTGATTACAGACACAACAAACAACTCATGCAAAGCCGGTTGAAGGGCCTATTTGACTAGGGGGCATTCGGGTCGGGCCGTCGTCGTCATCCACGCATAGGATATTTCCGAGGTGCCCGATCGATACCCGATGGACGTACAGTACGGGGCAAGGCGACGACTGACGTGACCGCGGGTGCGCCGCGTCCCCGGTCAAGGCACGCTCCAACGAGAGCCACCAGATGTTATACCTACGGGGAGACCGGGAGACGAGGCCAACGATTGGTGCCTAGCTAGTTACAGGTAGGGTCAGTGTTGTCGGTGCTCTGATTCTTCGGTGTTTCCTTTGTCGCATGATTGTTCTATGTAATCGCAACCTTTGTGTGATCGCGGGATTATCGTGGCCACCTGGGCCAACCTTTGAATTTTCAGATTTAGAACAATGCATAGGTTACATAAAAGAAAAGTACATTAAGAAAATAAAGAAAGATGTCAAATGAACCGTAGGAATTTTAGAAATAGTTCATACAGACATCTGTGGTCCTTTTTCTGTAAAAAGTGTGGATGGTTATGATTCATTTATAACACGCATGCACATAGAAGTCTGGTAGGCCGTTAGTAGACCGCTCGACGGTGGCGCGTTCACCCTACGGTGAGTGCGCGCACCGGCAAGCAGGACTGGGGGTGGCGTCGCCACCTCCCTCTGGCCGGCGCGGGCAACCACTGCACAAATCGCCTGCCTCCGGTGCGGCGCTGAGGGAAAGGGGGAGGAGAGAAATGAGGTCTAGGGTTTGGGGATGCTGGCCGGCCGCGGTTTTGTTCCGCCGAGAAGGCCGGATAGCCGTCCGTCTAGATGGATGGCCAGGGACGGCCGGGCCAACTTTCGTCCTAGGTGGGTAGGGAGTTTCCTGGCCCAGGCTCAGGTTGTGGCCTAGGACGCGGGGCGCGCGACGCTCGAGCAGGCCGTGGGCCGAATTCAACACTGGGCCGCATGAATAGTCTGATTGGGAATGAGTTTTTATTCTTTTCAGAAGCATTTCTTGGATGAATTTAGTCTAGATTTTAATCTCTGCTCAAATTTGAATCAACGGAATAATTTATTTAGAGAGTAGATAAGTACACAGTGATGCTTCTGAATAAGTATTATTTTTCAAGATTTTTTTTCATGTTTTCGCTGCTATGATTATGTTTATCCTCTAATTAAATTGGAACCAACGGAAAAAATTTAAATGGAGGAGTAATCAGATTTGTTTAAGTTAAATTATGATATTGTTATTTTTCTGACCAACGTTGAAGATAACAATATTATAAGTTTATTTATGAGTTTTATGCATTAGTTCTATTTCTGCCCAACGGTGGTGTAGAGTTAATGTAGAAGCACATTGTATGTTTTAATTTTGACCAACGTTAAATTACAGCATGCAATTATTATATCAAATATTTCTCACTTTCTCTGATGTTTTCAGGATACAACCCAATAATGTTTATCTCGTCCATTCCGCCTCTAAATGAAAGCAGCTATGGCATATGGCAAGAGAAGCTTGAGATGGCACTTGTGCTGTCCGACAATGATCTAGCACTAACCTCTCCCTGTCCCACTGAGCCTGAGGACCCGGTGAGGGCAGAAAATGAGACTATGCAGCTTTCGCTACTCGGGAGCGTGGCCATGCAACAGTAAGAATGAAGTACGACCTTGATCGTGCGAAGTGGGATAGTTCGAACCGCAAGTGTTTGATGGTGATTAAGAGCTCCATTGAGGATCCAATAAGGGGAACAATCCCATAATGTACCACCATCCCTGAGTATCTCAAGAAGGTGGAGAGTCAGTTTACTAGCTCTTCAAAGGCTTATGCAAGCACTCTTATTAAGAAGTTAGTCAATGAGAAATACACTAGGGGAGGGATTAGAGAGCACATATTGAAGATGAGCAACACGGCATCTAAGCTCAAACCAATGGACATGGGGCTTAAGGATGAGTTCCTAGTTCATTCAATTTTTGCATCTTTGCCTAAAGAGTATGAGACCTTTGTTGTTAATTACAGCTTACAACCAGATAAGTGGGACATTGAGATGCTCATTGCCATGTGTGTGTAAGAAGATGAGAGGCTTAAGAGCTCATATGGTGACTCCATCAACCATGTGAAGAAAAATAAAAGAAAAAACTTTAAGAATGCTAAACCACAAGAAAAACCTCAGTGGGACAGTAACTTCCCTTCTAAGTCACAAGGAAAGGCCCCTCAGATTGATCACCATCAGAAATTCAACAATGTTCAAGTAGACAAGGATATCTGCAAATGGTGCAAGAAGAAGGGACACTACCAGAAAGATTGTCCAGAGTTCCTAAAGCACCTAATGAGAAAAAGGAGTGGACATTATTATATTTATAGATGAGTCCTTGTATTTAAGTTATGCAAAATCTACTTGGTGGATTGATTCAGGTGCAACTATTCTTGTTGCAAATTTATTACAGAGATTCCATATAAGGAGGACCTTGCAAAGAGGAGAAAGACACATTAAGATAGCAAATGGAGTCAAAGATGAAGTTGAAGCCATTGGAGAACTCCCATTAGAATTAAATGATGGCTT